ATAGTGTACTCGAAATCTTGAAGAAAAATTGCCCACCTCGAGACCCTTAACGGAACTTCACTTTTTTTCATTGTTTGAGTGAATGCGTTACAATCTGTAACAATCTTAAAATGCAATCCCAATAAATAAATACGCCACTTCTTCAGTGCCTCTATAATGGCCAGAACCTCGAGCTCATATGAGTGGTACTTTTCTTCTTGCGGGGTAGTTCGGCGACTCATATATTGCACTGGATGATACTGTTGATCATCTGAATCTTTTTGCATTAATACCACGCCGTACCCGTACATGCTCGCATCAGTATGTACTTCCGTCTGTGCACGCGGATCATACAGTCTAAGCACGGGTACACTTATCAAAGCTGACTTAAGTTGCTCAATTGCTAANCCGGAAATATGACGTTAGTCCCAAGAAACGCTGAACCGCCTTCACATTATTTGGCACTGGAAAATTTGACACAGCTCGTATTTTTTCCTCTGACGGCCGTATGGTTCCGTCCTCTACCAAATACCCTAGAAACGATACCTTCCTCTTTAAAAACTGGCACTTGTCCCACCTTATTCTCAAACCATATTCTGATGCACGCTTCAAGACAATCTTAAGTTTCTGAATACTAGTTTCCTCATCTTTTGCAGGCACGATTATATCGTCCATGTACACGACAATAGTACCATTTTGTATCAAATCTCTGAAAACTGAGCTAACAAATCGACAGAAGACCGCGGGAGAGTTCGAAATACCGAAAGGAACATATAAAAATTCGAACTGACCATGGTGTGTGACGAAGGATGTAAACTTCCGGGATTCTGCGGCCACTGGCACGTGGAAGAACCCATTAGCCAGATCTAACGTTGTAAAAATTTTCGAACTCTGTAACCGCTCCAGCACATCATCAATCAACACCATAGGGAAATTATCCTTGACTATCTTTTGGTTTAACTTGCGATAATCGCAGCACATCCTTTTGCTGCCATCTTTCTTTGGAACCAATACTACAGGGGAGGCATACTCCGAAGTGCTATGCTGTACGATTCCTTCTTCTAACCATTGACTTACTTGCTTTTCAATAAA